AATTTTTTCCTGGATTTTCAGAATATATTTACTATATTTGTCACACTTTGTTGATAGAATTCATAAGAAATAATTTGATAGATATTTCAGAACCAGCATAACACAATTATCTGCAAAAAAACAGCTTTTTGTGCAACCATGATGGAAAAATAGAATCCAAAATTAACAGTACTGTTATAGGTCAAAATGGAAAAACTGATCATTTTCGTCTAAAAACCCTTCCGCCACAAATTATAGTCCCTATCTTAATTCTACTTGAATGGAATTTAATCGCTGTCTTTTCATTGAATATAGTTAAATTTGCACTGTAGAAGTCAGATTTAATGTTAGAACTTAAAAATGATGCAGAATTTTATAAATAAAGGGCCTGACCAAATTACGCTGAAAATCTCAGGATCGAACGTCCTTAATTATAGTAATATTTTGTGTCTAATGCCGATGTACCTGTTACTAAAAGAGACCTGTTGACCACAACGTTCACATCAGCAGATTCCCCCCCCCCATATATTTCTTCATGTAGGCCTATGTAAAACATGTAATTAAGACCACAAACGGGTCATGATTTTAACAAAAGCCTGCCTATAAGAATACTTCAATATAAAAGTATGCCTTATCATGGTTTACTATTCATAAGAATTTTTTTTGAGATTTTCCCTTAATTTTCTACTATAAACATTTTATCCTTTATTGTAGCTCCAACTTACCCCAAGGAGGCATGAACTTAACAAACTTTAATGCAAACTTCCTGAGGGTGCTTACATACAAATATGACTAACCATGGCTTAACAGTGTGTGCGAATTAAACAAAATTGACCTTTATTTTCCACCGTAAAACAGTTCGTTTCTTTGCAGCCCCACCCTAAACCCAAGATTCCATGATTTAAACAAACTTGAATGTAAACTACCTGAGGATGTTTCGACACATAAATATCACTATATCACATAAATATGACAAATGGCTTTGCCAGTTGCTCTTCTGTGAAGAATTTAAAAGAAAGTTCCCATCGCTCATTTAAACAAAATTGAATTTGAATCGTGTTTTAAACCAGAAGCCCAGAGCCCATGAAATTCACAATTTTGAAAGAGGCACCACTGATAACACTTAGCATGCTTACTTTGGTTTTTTAAAAGTGCATAGACACAGATTTGAAGTTAATGTTTTCTCAAAGGAACACTTCTTTAGAACCTTATCAATATCCGTTCTGGTGAGCTGACTTTAGCATACATGTGTACATGCATGCAATTTTTGTCTATCTATAGTTAACAATGCATGCATACATTTTCTCGAGGAATAAACTGCATCTACTCTGCAGTATATCTCCCACACAAAGCTGTAAGTACCTTAAAAGCAAATCCCTTACTAAAATTTTAGAGATTTCTGAAAGTGAACTTCTGTAAGCTAACAAGCTTACATTCTGTTAGTTTACTTAGTGCATAAAACAACAGAGCGCTGAGCGTAAAGTAACAGAACGTAAAGTAACTAACAGAACGTAAAGTAATTATCAGAACGTAAAGTAACTAACAGAACATAAAGTAGAATGCAAGGGCATCTTTTTCCGAAACTGTAAAATGTGTGTACCCAGGGTCAGGGGTTCCTGTAGGGTTGGGGCAATACTGAATATTACTGAATATTACTGATTGAATAGTTGAAATGCATTTTTGGCCCCTTCTCTGCTTATGAATATTTCAAAAGTAACTATACTAAGCATGCTAAATGTACAGTTATGATAAGCAATAGTGCCTCTTTCAAAATTGAGATAACAGGGCCTCTGGTTTCAAACATGAACCAAATTCAATACATGTAGTTGGAAAGTTGTTGCATGATGACCTATAAGGCCCATGAGCCTCGTTAGTTTTATCAATATTTTCAGATGACTCATTTTGTATTTCTTAAAGAAATGGAAGGCTGCTTTACAATTTAAAAAATTAATTAAATAAAACCATAACCTGTTTAATTTTGTTACTTTTTGCTCACCTCTGCTAAAGTCTCAAATAAGCTAATATAATTTAAATTCATCTGGAAACTTTTTCAGCTTTGCAACTTCTTCTCAAAAATCACTGTGCCAATTTAAACCTATACTTGACACAAGGTATCCTTGGGTGAATTTTAGAGAAATTAGGTTTTTTATACCCCCCGCTTGAAAAGCGGGAGGGTATATAGTATCAATATTTTCAGATGTCCGTCATTTTGTATTTCTCTGTTACGCTTTGGGGTACCCATCTTTACAACTTCTCATAAACTGAATGAAATTTGATGAAACTTTCACAGAATCTTTATTACATATTGCCATTGTGCACCTCCTATTTTACTTTTTGATCCGACACATATTTTGGGTTTCCCGGCCACAAAAACATCACTTTTTCACCAGTTAAAACCATATGGGAGGCAAGGGGTATCATTTAGTGAGCTCATTGCCCACAGCACCTCTATTTTTTTTTTTTTTTAAAAAAATGTTCTCTTTCAAAGAGTAGATACTGAAGAATTATCAAAATTTAATGGCAATTATCTTTTTAAAATATTTTTTTCAGTAACCACTGGACTAGAAAATATGCGAGCTAGGAAAACAGTTATGATGCTAAATAGCATGGACTTTTCTTTTCAAAGTCAAATACATATGTATGTTGTACATAATCACTAAATTGTTTTGTAAAGTAGGCCAAATACAAGGGTCGAGAGGTCCATAATCATGGTATTCAGTAACAAGAGGTCCAGGGGCCACATCGCTCACCTGAGTAACTGGCTAGGTAAAAGCTAAAATCAGTTCAGTATTGAAAAGTTAAGATAAACCAAGTAAAAATAGGTTCAGCAGAGGGGGGAGGGTATTTGAAGAAACTTAAATCTATACTTCCTACGGATACTTTTAAAATAACATGATACATAATGACTTTGCTGTTTATAAGATGAACATTTTTATTGATATAGCCTTTATATTCCTTTGTATAACTATGATCCACTTTAATGACTCCTCTATACTCCTGGTTGGTCATGATTAGAACAAATTTATATCTTAATTACCTTTTTGATGCTTTCATATTGATGATCAATAATACCAATGGCTTTGTTGTTCTTATAAAGAATTTTCTCGATTTTTCCCATGTACATAAAACCTTGATCACCCATTGTCGCTCCACTCAACCCCTGCGGGTCATTATTTTAACAAACTTGAATCTACACTACCCGAGAATGCTTCAATATAAATAATATATTAACAATTGAGAGCTTTGCTGTTCTCAGGCAGAAAAATTTTAAAGAATTTTTCATGTAATCCTTCTTAAAACTTTAATCACCCATTATGGCCCCATCCTTACCCCAGGGGTCATGATATGAACAAACTTGAATCTACACTACAAGAGATGGCTTTAAAATAACTGTGACCAATCATGGCTTTGCTGTTCTTGAGAAGAAATTTTTTAAAAGATTTTCCTGTGTATTCCTAAACTTTGATCCTCAATTGTGTGGCCCCATCTTACCCCGGAGAGTCATAATTTGTACAAATTTGAATCTATGCTACCTGAGGATGCTTTCATATAACTATGACCAATCATGGCTTTTCTGTTCTTGAGAAGATTTTTCCTATGTACTGCTACGATAAACTTTTAATTTAAACAATATTTTATTCACAGATGTTGTCGTGAATAGGATTGGGCAGCAGGCGCAGCCTATTTTAGCCCTCTCCCTACGATAAACTTTGATCAGTCATTGTGCCCCCACCCTACCCTTGGGGGTCATGATTTGTACAAACTTGTATCTACACTGCCAGATGATACTTCCATCTAACTATGACCAATCATGGCTTTGCTGTTCTTGAGAAGAAGATTTTTAGACTTTTCCTGTGCCATTCCTATGTTAAACTTTGATACCCAACAGTGGCCCCACCCTATCCCACGGGGTCATAGTTTGAATAAACTTGAATCTACACTACCTGAGAATGCTTCCACATGAGTTTCATCTTTCCTGGTCCAGTGGTTCTTGTGAAGAATAAATATGCCATTAATTTTTCACTAATTATCTCCCCTTGGAAGAAGGTGTGGTCCTTCATTTGAATAAACTTGAATCCCCTTTGCATAAGAATACTTTGTGGTTAGTTTGGTTGAAACTAGCACAGTGGTTCTTAAGAAGAAAATGAAATTGAAAAGTTTACGACAACAACGACGACGACAGACAAAGAACAAATTTTGATCAGAAAAGTTCACTTGAGCCTTTGGATCAGGTGAGCTAGAAATCATAATGACATGCCATATATGTGCAAAATATGACATTCATATGCTCTCCAAGATTGAGCCTTCTGTATGAACATGTAAACAGAGTAATCCATCGCCAATTCATACAACAATGTCCTACCAATTGGTGTGCAAGTCTATGTTTTGCATTTGGCAAACAAACTAATTACAACAAAAATAAATTTCGCGATATGTTAATGTTAAACAAGATGTAGCATCCTCTTGTTTTTGTAAGTAGCCTGCCGCAGTCTTCAAATTGATACTATCTACCATCGGCTCATACATTCACTCCTGTCATTGGCTCTCGTATTTAACAGTGATAAACAAGAGAAATCCCTGATGGTGCATTTTTTTAAAACTCGTTTTAACTAATTCAATATCTATGCTTATGTTTGAGTTTTGAAAGAGATATTTACTAAATCAGCCTAGAACTATTAGTTTAATTTGAAACAATCATTCAATTATCATGTTTTATATGTTATGTAAAATATCCTGACGACTCTACATAGGAGATTGACAAATGATTGTACTTTTGCATATTTAATCTGTTTGGAGACATGCACAACTACCGTAATTACCGGTAAAATATAAATCTTTATGATCTGAAAAAAACTGCTATATAAACAAACAGTACATGTATAAAACTGACACTCTGATCTTCCTGAAATTTTTCAATGGAATGGGTAGTGTTCCTAATTAAACTGTGTTTTCTTATGAACTTTTAAATATTAACTTTATTCTAAATTCTCATATTTAAAATTAAACAGGAAACACATGCACTTGATTCATTCATTTGTATTCTTTTCTTCGCCCACAAAGAAATTAATGTAATATATAAAGACAATATATCACATATCAAAATTAATATTTAAAAAATCACCTATAATACAGGAAAGGGAAAATTCTGAGCATTAAGACATTGAATTAAACACCACAGCATCTTGAAAGTGTGCACCTACTACATGTAATACAAGTGAATTACTTGCAGATACAGTATACAAAATTGCTATAAACAGCTTTCATTCAGCTGAAATTTGATTTTCTTCATTTCAAATTATACTTAAAAATTTTAAATTAAGAATTATTATAGACAGATGGGATGAAAAAAAACTTAATATTTTCAAATAAGCAAAAACAGATTCTGTTAGAAACCTTTTAAGGTCATATGCAATGTAGTTTGAACTTTATTGGGTTCTTCCCTGGAGATGAAGAGTTCCACTAAATGAAGGACCTGTGTGCAATATTTTTAATGCCTATATATGGATTTGTACACCTCTTCTTAAAAGATTTTTGATGAAAAAAAATCTTGAGTTTATGTTTTGTAATTTTTGTACATTTTTCTTTGAATAATACAAAAGTTTTCAAAATTTGATATCTTCTCAAAACCCTTGGTAAGGCATGCTGATTTTTTGTCTATGAACATGTAATGGTATTATAATTTTACATTTAGAATATCTTGAAAAATTATCAGTAGGTAAGATACACTGCGTATGTCCTTAAACAGAAACGTTAACAAATCCAGAACTACATTCAGTACATGTAATCTCACTGCAGTTTTCACCACAAAATTATTAAAATAAAAAATGATTGATAAACATAAATATATATGACCCCATATGGCAATATGAAAAAGAAACAAATTTTAATTTAGAATGTCTGTAATGATAGTGAAACAATAAATGTATTATTCATCTACTTGTCAAGGGCAGCCTATCTCTATCACATGTCAATGTTAAGGCAAGTTATATTCTTCAAACAGGGTACAAGTGCATCAAAAATTTGTCATTTGACCTTTGACCTAATGACTGCAAAATCAACAGAGGTCATTTCCTCCCTAAGGGTAACCAATGTACCATGTTTGACGTCTGTTATAAAGACAGGGTTATCAAGATATTGAGCAGGCAAAATCTTCCTACATCCTGTTTGCCCTTGACCTTTGATCTTGTGATGTGAAAAATCAATGAGGGTCATCTACTCCTCAGAGGAGTACCAAGTTTGATGCCTATCAAGATACTGAGCAGTCGGTATCATTTCAATTCCCAGTTTTCCCCTGACCTGTTGCCTTCAAAATCTATTTTAAATGCTTATCTACTCTTCAGTGGAACCCAAATCAAAAGGAGTCAGATCTACTACACAGTGGATACCAGTGCACTAAGGTTAGGGCTGTTAAGAAAAAGATTCTCATAAACAGACAACACTTTTTCTACTGACCAACTGATATACTAATGATTGATACTGAGGTATTGACTGATAGGAGCATTAAGTCCTTTTTAGGCAGGGGGCATAAATATATAGCAATTAAAGTTAAAAAAAAAAAACAACTAATAAAAGGGTTAAATAGGTGAATAATTTTTCATGCAGAAAGCCAGAAATTATAGTCAAGAGCAAAATGAAAGCTGAATATTGTTTGTGGTTTAAAAAATTATTTGATGTTGATCCCTAATTTAAAAAAAAAAATTACAGTGGATTAGATGTCATTTTCAAATGTTATAAGTAACACTATGGAAATACTGTTTTCATAAATTAAAACACAGTGCAAAATTAACCCAAGAACCTCATGACCGTGTTTGATTAAGCTCATGCTATTTCCTCACAAACAGCTGAATTGATAAAAAAAATATTATGGTAACTTTCCACATTTTTTGCAAACTTTACTGAACCACACAATGGAACCACTTAAAAATTACATCAACATTTGCTCAATTTTTCAAACAAACCTAAGTATTTCATTTACTTGCTGTAAAACAAGAAAAATATAAATCAATACAAGTTATTGATATCATATTGGCACAATTTGGTAGAGAAACCTTCACATTTAATCATGCATGGACCTGGCCAGTTCATGTCAAAATGGAAGTGCAATGATAGAAGTCCACAATTTTATTCTAACATATATATAACTGATGTCTATCTATTGCCAATTAAAGGTACTTGGACACAGATTTGAAGTTAATATTTTCTCATTTTTTCTGTATAATATCACGAATTATATATTTTAATAGCATTTCACACAAAAATTAATTAAAAATCTTATTTCGTTTAAAAGTCATTAAAACTTTAAATTTTTTGGCGGGTTTGATTGACACATCCTTGCACTTTCACAAATTTTAACTTTATTCTTAATCCTTAGGAAAAGTGTCAATTTTGATGTGTTTTAATGAGAAATATTAAAACTTTTATCAAGAAAAATAATTTTATTCAGAGTAGAAATGTTAGAAAGCAAAACACCTTCACAAGTATCGTCATTCCGAACTAAGAGGTGCCTGCAGAATTTAGCAAATCGAGCATACACGTGTTAGGCCAGGTAAAATTAATCTTTAGATTCTCATCCTAATTTGCAAAAAAATTGGGGCGGGTGGGCGGATTTTATTTTTTATTTTTTATAATTGTTAATTAATATATAGGCCTAAGTATCAACAAAACAATGGACGCCCCGTACACATTTTTTTCATTACCTTAATGCAAATATGAATAGATTTAATTCTTTTCATATTCTTTTAAATATTCAATTTATTGTTAATTAACAAATTATCAAGTACACATTATACGGTACACCCTGAACAAAATGAGGTGGGGATACCAATAAATTGTGTATGCGTGACTTCTTATTTTGCAAAATCTATATAAATGTTCTAATAATTATTCTACTGAAAAATCTAGGCCTTCTCTTAAATCTGTCTACGATGTTGTAGATTTTTTTTTTATTTCAAAGCTAAGTCACACAGCTGGAGATCGTTATATATAACTTGACTTTCCTCGTCTATTTTTACTTAGTTACAATCTCTCTACATATTTGCTCCTGCCAGTGATGGTATCTATATGTGTTTATGCTATTTTTTCTTCTCTGCCTTCTCTATACTGACAAATTATCTTTTCCTTACACATTTAAACTGCTTTTATTGCCGATTTTTCTCCATTCTTCACATGGCGTTTTTGCTATAAATAGCGACACGCGACTTTTAATACAGACGGGAGATAACTCTTAAACTTTGACCCAAATTCTTACTGAATAAAAATACATGAAAATACCCAAAAATCAAAATAAAAAACATCAGGGCGGGACATTTTGAGAGGGGCGGGCGGGGATGAGAATCTAAAGATTAATTTTATATGGCCTTATGTACACAGTTTTTGTAAACAGGGCTCGAGTTCTGTTATTGTTTATACTTAGAATTCACCGGGTGCGTTCAATCATCACAGTCTGCTTACCACAACTGCACGGACTGACAATGTATTGTGAGTTTGTTTTGCTTTCGAACGTGTCTACTCTGAATTTTCTGGATTATAGTATTAATATTTTTCATTTATACAAAACGAGATTGCCACTTTTCCTAAGGATTAAGAATAAAATTAAATTTGCGAGAGTGCAATGATATGTCAATCAAACCCGCCGAAAAATTTGAAATTTCAATATCTTTTAAATGAAATAAGATTTTTAATTAATTTTTGTGTGAAATGCTATTAAAATCATAATATAAGTCGTAATATTATAGAGAAAATATTAACTTCAAATCTGTGTCCAAGTACCTTTAAAACTTGGCTTTTCCTAGTTTGAACTGATATTCATCTGATTCAAAGATTACCACAATTACTTTAGCATATCCTTTCAAAAATACATTGTCTCAATTATGGACCAAATCACAGAACAAATACGTCATAATCAACAGCCATGGGTTATCTCCCTTAGATAACTACATGTACAGACAATTATCTAAAAAAGGTTCAGTAGTTTACAGAAAATATATAAAAATAGATAAACATAAACACAACTGATAATTGGAGTCAAGCTGTACTTCAAAATTAATTTATAAGCACAGAGAACAACAAACAGTTTGAAACTAAAGATATTTAAAATCATCACAATATGGTTATTTAAAACATTGGGCAGGCCAAACTGAATAAGTTTGTGACATGCCTGCATATATACTATTGGACTTTTATGAGAGGCGCTGACTTGTACAGTTGACGAATTACTTTCACACTAGGACAGTGTATGGAAGCTCTTTTAAGATATAAATATTTAGCTCAAACCTTAATTCACCAAAAACAATGGATATTTTAAAGCACAGATAAGTTGCCCTTAAAGAAAACGATAATCATCCTACTCTTAAATCCAGGCCTTGACATTTACGTGCCCCTAACACCATTACTATGACCACTAGAACGGTTTTCTTATCCATTATCAATTTTGTACCTCCGTAGATGATACAGGTTTAAATGTCCAAGTAAACAGTCAACTGTAAAAGTCAGTGATTCTTGTAAAAGTCCAATAGTACCATAACAATTACATGAAATATATATTTAAAACAAAAAGAGTACACATGGAATATATTGCACTAAAAAAGAGAAATAAATATTCAATATTTATAATCTCAAATCAATGTTAGTACTTTTCTTTCTTACCAACTTCACCCTGAATGTAATGAAAGTACACGTTAATTGAATTGTCTCATGCAATAAATGGGAGTTTCTCTTCATAAATTTCATCATATTTAGGGATTTGACTGTTTTAGGTATTGTTAACCTTGACTTTAATATTACCAGTATTGAACAAACCTCTCAAAAAGTTGTCCTTATCAGAAATGCTGATTAATTGAATTCTAAATAACAGTACCCAAATCATATGCCAGCCTAGTATAATTAGTTACATAGTTTTGTAGTGATAGGGTAAGGGATGATACCTCGTAAGTATATTTATGACTGATGAGGTATCATCCTGTAGCCAGTAACTACAAAACTATATAACTCACTTACACCACCATCGATTATATCTATAGGTAGCTGTGGGTTTTAAAATTGTTTCTCCTTGTTATATATTTTGACACTCTTGTTAATTTTCTATTATGATTGCACATTGTGCTACATATATTATTTTTAGAGTGTTTCTTGCAATAAAATTTAATTGTCAAAGTTTTGAAGAAATTTGGTGAAGAGAGAAAAAGTTCCAAAATATGTGCCCGTTAATGATGTTAGCTAACTTTATACATGTACATGTTATCAGACATTGTCACTTAAAAAAACATTAAATGTTACAAAAGAAAATTTCCTCTATATTTACCATGTGCCAATTTTAAAGTGACCATGGATAAGTAATACTCCTCTATCACATGACAGACGTCTACTAATCGTAACCCAGAATTTCAATGAAAAATCATCGGAGATGGGGTAAAAAAACATATATTTTTGACACTATAGCTAATTATTTGACTTGATATTATAAGATCCAATACTGTGGTGAACTAATGGAATGGTTATTTATGCTCTGTTGGACTTTATTCAGATTGTTTGATATAACCTTTCATATATTATTACATGTACTAAGTTTTAGATGCAACATTGACCGAGTTCCAACCCGCCATTTAAGTAATAGTTAACAGATTTTTTAGAACTACATGTACATGCAATTAATGTCATTTTTCTCCAAATATTTCTCAAAATTAAGAGTTATGTATACAAAAAATTTGCTGCATTAATATATCATTTTGTTTTGAACACTGTTGAAATACATGCTAAAAAATTATTTGACTTGATATTATAAGATCCAATACTGTGGTGAACTAATGGAACAGTTATTTATGCAAACATGTTCAGAAATTTTATTCATTGCATTGTATAATACACAACCTTTCTTATATTTTGATACTAAGTATATAAAAACTAAACTAGTTCTTCATGCAACATTAACTGATAGTTGAAACATGCACCAAAAACTTTAACCTGTTAAACCTGCCCTTTAAGTAAAGTTAACAGATTTTCTTAGAACTACATGTACATGCATTTAATGTAATTTTTCTCCAAATATTTCTCAAAATTAAAGAGTTATGACAGAGGAATACACAGAGGAAAATTTGCTGCATTAATTTAATATCACTTTGTTTTGAACACCGTTGAAATAGTCTTTGCTGCAGCAAAAATTATAAAATACTTCCCAGTAAAAATAACCTGGTCATTCCTTTGCTGAAATTGCAACTGAAACTTACTGGTACAATGAAACACACAACATAGTTACTATAGATAAAAGTACTATCTCCAAAAAACTTAACCATAACCCAGCACCTTTATGCAAAAATGCACTTTTTGATATTCTGAATTTAATAACTTTACAGTTGAAAGGCAATATATTTGACTGCATTAAATAATATGGTATGTTAAATTTGTTAATGGAGTTTCAAAATGATATGATGTTGAAAATGATTTGTAGAAGCATTGATAAATTTGAGTTTAAAAATTTTCAAAAGTTTTATCTTTTATTCCAAAATAAAAACCAAACAAGCAGAAAAAAATAAAAATCTATAACCTTGAATGACTTTATGAATCTGAAAATACAATTTCCTCACTCGTCAAAGACAAGTTTGACGGAATGCAGTTTACTTCTTGTATGTCTCACGACTATCAATTAAGCAATGTATATTGTGGATTTCTGGAAGTCTACATCACAAAAAATTATTAATTTCAGGAAAAATTATCACAAATGTTATAAGGAATCACAACATTCTGAGCTTTATAGTCTACAGAAAATCATATATCTGGAGAGAGTGGTTATTTCCATAACTTACTGAAACACTGTACAAAATACATCTTTGTGTTGTTTTGACAGTTATACATTTATATTTTTCTAATGAAAGTTTCACATAGAAATTAACAATAAATTATATAAGTATATACAAAGTATACATTATTCCCTGTAAAGAAAATACAATATATACCCAATAATTATGCTCATCTTGCATACAATATAGTTCTAACCCACAATAATAATCAAACAATGATACAAATAAACCCCCAAAATACTGTAAAGTAAATCACTTTTTATTCATGAGAACTTTATATTTGCATACACGTGTGAATGTGTTTGTGCAAAAATTTTATTCTCCCATATCTTTGTCATATACATGGTTATATACAACAGAAACCACAGCTTGTGAAAATTTTGTCTCGCTAATAAATACCAATTAATTAATGAATGAAAATATCATCATGAAAATAAAGTGATCTACTGTATTCAGACCAGAAAAACAATGCATTCCCACAAAAAAAGAAAAGAATATACATATGTATTTAAGTAAGATCTTAATTGATATTAGTTAAAGAGTAGTATCCACAAATGTAAAAGGTTCTAAAAAGTTTGACACATGTTGTTTGCCGATTTGAAAGAAAGGATTTCAATAATTCATACCACACACATGTACATTTTTACCAGCAGTGCTAGAAAGTGAAATGATTATCTATTTAAGTCTATACAGATTCCTTTGTTGGAGGGTCAACCTTAATTTCAACATCAGTCTTTGCCAAATTAACTACTGGACTCTGGGCATACATCACTGTAGCAACAGATACAATAAAAATGGCCAAAACAGTGTAAATATCAATAGCAATACCGAAAATGATCCAGCACAACACAGCAGTGAACATGAGCTCTAAGGCACTGGCAAATGTCTTTAAGATGGAATTCAAGTTTCGCAGGAAAAGACTGGTTACAATGCCAATGGCAGCATTATTTACAACAATAATTAAAACCCCAGGCTGCATTATAGCTGCAATGTTTCCAGGTTCCAATGCACTGATAAATTCTCCCTTGAACCCTAGCACCAGAGCATTACACAAAATTGAGTCCAGGTACATGAACACATTTTGCAGCATGATATGAACATCCACTCCTTTGTCTTTCAGTAGGTATTCATTATAAACACCTGCAAAGCAGGAACTGAAGACCTGGACCAGAATGAGGAGAAGATGGCGGTTGAAGTAGACCGAGAGGGAACTGGATGTAGAAGCAGCAGATGTGGCAAGGGATGACTTGCTGTCATGGCCGTACTCTTTTACTATGCATCCCAGAGTCAAAAATGTCAGCGAAACCCACTGATATCTACTTAATTTCTTGCTAAAGATGACCTGAAATCAGAAAAAGAATATTCTACATTGACATTTGTTTTAACTTTCTTATTTTTGCAGATTTAACATTACCTAAATAAAAATAATACCGTATAATCCCTATTAACCACCCCTACCCCTGTAAGCACCCCATAGTTGTTTTTCAATTATCAGGAGATAAGGGCCCCATGTACAGTGATTAAAATCATTTAGAATCATATCAAAAGTCTGCCAAAATTTGAAGAAAAAGAAAATGAAACTAGTCATTTAGCATAATTTGGGTAGATTATCTTTACTTAAAGTAAAGTTAGAAAAGTTAGACATTAATTTAGTGGTTCTTTATATTTATTTTTTTAAAAAGTTTTTTTTTTTTAAAGTTAAAATATGACATTAAAGATTATAAAGAGAATACCAAAATAACCACCCCCTTTTCGCAATTTTCTAAGCGCCCGGGGCGGATAATATGGAATATATGATAGCTAATTTTTCGAGATTTACGATTCTAGCCATAACAAAAGACGCATGGGTTATATTGCTCACCCAAACACTTTGGCTTGTGAAAGTATAAATCAGCTCAGTATTGAAAAGGTTAAATATACTTATATAAATAATTTAATAATTTAAACAATATTCTATTATGAATAAACATAACTGGATTGGACAGCAGGCACTGCCTAAATAAGTCCTCTCCATATAAAATTGGTATGGGGAGAAGGGGTTGGGTTGAGGGGCTTGTGTCCCCACCCTACCTCCATGATAAAACACACTTGAATCTACACTATCTGTGAATGCTTCTAAATCAAAATGACAAATCATGGCTTTGCTGTTCTTCAGAACACAAGTTTTTATTGATACATGTATTTCATATTTCTTTGAGTGAATTTGAATTTGTGGGTATAAAAATGGATACAAATTGGCACCCTTACATATTATATATTCTATTAAATTTTCTTCCGATGCATTTAATAATGCAAACATACTTTTTAAAGCGGAAATTGCATTTTAACATAGCGACGAGTGATTGCGGTAGCTTTCAAAAAAATCTGATTCTCAATTTCTCTAATATGTGTGCACATGACTTGCACTATGAACAGCAAGCATGATATCTGGTTAAAATCGAGGGCAAATTTGGCTGAAAATATAGCGAAAATTCACTATAATAGTGATATACCATTATTAAAGTGGAATTTACGTTTGGCCCCAACTTTGTTGTGACCCCACCCTACCTCCAGAAGTTACGATTCGATAAATTTGATTCTGCACAACCTGTGCATGCTTGCTATGAATATATGTCCAATTAAGACTTGCTATTTATAGCAGGGGTCATGATTTGAACAAACTTGAATCATGCCTCAGATAATTTTCAATTCTTTTGGCCCAGTGGCTCTTAAGATTTTTAAAAATTTATCCCCCTAAAAAAAATGCTTTGCTATACAGTAAAAAAAAATTCGATTCATCGCCATTTTCAAATACCGCCATGATTCCCCAAGACACACTTTTTCCTGCTATATAAAATTCTCTTTATAACGCCAAATTCGCATACCGCCATCCGCCACCCTGTTTTCAAAACAAACGTCCATTTTTAAATGTCAATTTTCTCGATATACCGCCACAGGTGTGTGCGGTCAGTGGAGCGCGGCTAATTGGTTGACGCTATCCCTGTTGTAAAGCATGCAAAGCCAGACAAGGTACACGCAATTAAATAATTAAATTAGAATTAAATGAACAAATAATTTTGATATGAACGGTTACAATGATTTTGTACTGTTGTTTTGTTTAAAAAAAAAACATTTAGTCACGGCTTCGCCACGAAAGAGGTAGTTGTAAAAGTACGCCGAATACGATATTATTTTGATGATCTCTGCTTTAAACAATGCAAAGTTTGCTTAAAAATAATTATACGATACAAATGTTTAACGTTTAACAAACAATGATGACATAAACAATAAATTTATTCAAGAAACTATTTAACGTACGTTCAGCAATATATCACGCCGATCGACCCAGCATGTTTTTTCAATATCAGACGTGCCGATTTACATGTACATAAATGCACATGTACATGTCTTTATTTCATAACCGCACATTTTGTTTTAAAGAAGTTGTACATAAAAAATTACTTGAAGTATTTAAAATTGAGAAATCTGTTGTATATACATGTACATGTAATTATAAGAAAAAACGCTTTATGGTATTTCTAAAAGGTAACTATGTTTTAAAATATAGGAAATTCAAATCATCGCCAAATTCGTTATACCGCCATGATTTCTAAATTACAAAAGGTGGCGGTTTATCGAGAATTAACTGTACATGTATATTCAAATCTAGAGTTGGGTATTGCGAAGGAAATCCACATTGCGATATATTGCAATATTTTGCAATATATTGTAGATTAATTATCATTAATAAATTTGAGCAGAATGTTTGAAATGCTGTCAAGTTCAAAGACTATTTGAATTTATCTTTAAGTTTAAAAGCGGGAGGAGGGATAAGACATTGATTGCACACCAAATTAACACTTTACTTTTAATCAAATTCCAGGTAAAATAGTAAAACAAGATGAACTCTCTTGGAGAAATTTCACATTGAAATAAAAATTTTTACAGATTATATAATCTTTTTTCATTGAATTCTTTTTTTGGGGGGGGGGGGGGGTTAATGAAGTAGCATAAAATGTCATTAAAGATTAAAACAATATACATATTAGGCCTATATGAAAATAATTTTATTGTGGTAACAAAATAAAATTTAAAAAAAAAACAGAAAGAAATTGTGACCTGTTTTCGTGCGTTTTGGTAATTTAGTCTAACCCGACCTAATTTCACTGATATCAAGACTACAATCCTTTAATGACCTCTTTTAATATATACATGCTCCTGCTATAGCATAAGGTGTTTAAAATGGCATGAAAGTTATTAAAAATAATTAAAACAACACTGCTACAAGTGAAAACATGGATGACCATTTATTATCATTTTACAAACAGCGTGACAGTTTGCTTGATGGGGCGTGCTAAAATTTTGTGTGCTAGTTATCATTTTACTCATCGATTGGATCAACGAAATCAATATTAATTTGCATATGAAACTCGGAATACAACAATACCCCAATAATACTGGCCAATCACATTGAACGATTGTTTCCCAGTACGGCATTTGTAGTCAGGAGCAACACGTGGTCAGTCAAAGCCCGTTTTCTGTCCTAAAATCATGTATTATATCTGTTGTGATTTGACCGGATGGGTTTTTTAAAAATACGTTTAACATGTATAAGAAAATTTAAAAAGAATGGAATTAGTGAGGCTACTCTGCTACTGTTGTACTATGTAGCTATCGTCATTATAGGAAGTAAACTTGCTTTGTCCGTTCACATGTAATTGTTGTTTATTCACTGCGATTGGTCAGTATTGTCAATGGTATTGCTTGGTTCTGTGTTTCATATGTAAAGTATTATTGATTCCATTGAAATCAAACATCCAATTTTTAAATATATTCAGCATGCGAAATTTTAGCATTTGCAAACTGTAGCAGAGGTAGGAAAACGATAATACTTGTAATATGTGTACATGTATATTGAACTTGACATTTCACCGCGATGTCGATCGTGTAGATTCAATGTGAGATTTTGAGAACCGCAATGCATATGGTATACACCCTGTAAAAATGTTTTATATATTTTCTTCCTGATAAATTTTATTTTAAAGTCTTATTAATTAGTAATTTTATTTCAAAGTAAGATAGAAAACTGCAACAGTGAATTAAAAGCTTCCAATACTCTCTCCTCTCTCTTTCTCTCTCCCGAAAAAAAAATTCTTTCAACGAAAGAAAAAGACTTAAATTTTACAGTTTTATTTTAACAGTTTCTACAATAAAGGAGGTTTTTATATATCTTTATAAATATCGTGAAATACCGGTATCTGATTTTCATATCGCGATATATTATCGTGGTGGATAATACCGCAATATACCGATATACCGGTAATATTGCACACCCCTATTCAAATCCCCTATAATACTATATTCGGTGATATTTTGAGGCAAGTTTGGTTGAAATTGGCCCCAAGTTCTTCAGAAAAAATTCAAAAATGTGAAAAAATTATAATATTTAAATGTATTTAGCAAAGTGATTTGAAGTTATTAGAAGAGGTGGAAAATTAACATACCTGAAATACTACACCCGTGACTACGACCCTGAACTGCAGTAGAAGGTAATAAGTCGTGGGGTCATAGGTTGCTAGATTGACAAACTGCAGGTTGTTGTACAGGCAGTAGAGAGCAGCAGGAACAAAATAATACATCAACACTGAAAAAAAAATCAGATTTAAACAAAGATAAAATTAAATCAATTACAGAGGGATTGCTAATTATAATTTGTATTCTTTGTAAAATGTAATTTTTTTCAGACCCCAACTTACTAGTGATTTTTTAAAAACATTAAAAAATATTTTGCTACACTCCATTTAAGAAAAATCTTTTGTTAAGATTTTATGATTCTTAATCTATCAGAAAATCTTTAAAAAAAGGTAACTGGATTTTTTTCATATTCATTAATATAATAACCCCGGCATGCCAATAAGTCTTTCAGAAAAGAAAATGTCCTTTTCAAAGAGAATAAAATTATATATTAATGTTGAAAGTAAGCATTGATCTTGTGTAGAAAAACAAGAAAGGCGCTAAGTAATTTTTTGATATGAAATGGGAAATATATTGCATGTACTGGGACATCACAATTGGTAATGTAAACAGCTGTCCAAAAGCAATTGCCCAATTGTTCTCTTAATGCAAAAATAACAGTGACAATGAAAACCTGGCTGGTAAAATACCAGTCCATTTGAATCTATTAGTATGAAAATATTACAGAAATTTACACCTATAATTATCATATATATTACATATTTGCAACAAAAAATTTGTTTGTATAAATCTTCCCCCACCCCACACTGGCAGTTTAGAAATCAATGTCTTTATTTCACTACTATTGATTGTGACTATGTGTACATGCAACATATTTTCTCTTGCGATCTCCAACAAAGTCCTTTTGTTCATTAAATAAGAACTTGTTCAGATCAATCAGGATTTCATTAAAATCTCTAGTCTCAAATTTCTCTGTATCTGCTGTTTTAAGCAATATAAAAGACTCACCATTTCTGTGTTTGTAGATTTCTGAGAAATAACTAGAAACAGGATTGCTGAAAATAAAGCATAAAAATGTTTAAAATTTTTTAGACATACAACATTTAATAAACTTGGTTAAAGACAACGATTAACTTATCAAGATTTGTTACAGAACACATTTTACAAGCAGTTCCTCAAAATTCCATGTTGTTCATTGATACACCACACACTTTTTAAAGCATGGCAATAACTTGTATGCAAACTTTGAATCTGTCACAATTGACATTAATTTTTTTGTAATGGGTAAACAAAAAATACAGTGATACTTACTCCTTTAAATATACAATAGAAGATACCACCAGTTTAAGTAACTCTGTCAGTAGAACAACTGTCACTGTGTTATAATTATAGGTATTATTCTTATTTTTGGATGCAGTCACGAGTATACCTTAAAATAAAAAAAAATATATCATATGAATGTATTAAACAATTTACATAAAATGTGTGTAACTACTAATAGTAACACTGCAATTATCATGATTAATGCTATAATGTCTGTCCTACAGTATGACTTTGAGCAATATTGAATAGAATTCACAAGTCGTTTTTGTGTATTCAATATTGACCGATCAGATACATGTTTTATTAAAAATATGAGTATATACAAGTTTGCATTGACAGGTGGTTCTAGTAAATCTAGTTCTGTAGACTCCAGACTATCTCAGTTTTATGTTTCTGCAGATAATATTTAAGGACTCTTAGAATATCAAATAAACAATAAAGTAGTCAGTAAATCTTTTTCAAAGTAGCAAGGAGTTTGAATAAAACTTTCTAAATGTGAGCGTAAAGACGATCGACAATTTTTTTTTGCCGACATCCTAAATCAAGAAGACATTCAGTATAATAAAATAAATGGTGCCTGTTTTGGAGGGTAACAGTTGAAATTGACACCCTAAGGAAAACCATTGTCAACCTCCTCTGACGCGTCGGTTGACAATGGTTTTCCTTGGGGTGTCAGTTTCAACTGTTACCCTCCAAAACAGGCATATTTATATAATATACATCAGGTTGAAATCTGACTTTTTGAAAAATGGTGGCTGCGTTGGCATAGGCTGTGCAATGTACTATGATCAAGTGTTTTGATCTTGAATTCACTAAGTACTACAGAAATGTACAAGTCATAAATCTTTGGTAGACAAGGATATGTGTTCTGGTCTTTAGTATTTAAAATGACTAAAATGGTTTCTCTATGTATGTGAATAATGGAAACTAAAAAAAATACAGGCCTAAGAATTGGGCAAGAGTGCCACTGTGCAACTCCATTAGAGAAAGACTGATATAAATGCAGATTGCTCCGGGTGTTAAGAGATCGACATCACTTCGAATCTTATATTACTCAAATTATTTTCAAGTTAGCATTGTAAACATGATAAAACTTCATAATTTATCTGCCTAGAACACACTTTATCCATCCAGAAAATTTTATAAAGATACATTAATTTCTTAAAAAGACATGAGCTCAGTCTATGAAATTTTGTGACAACCCTTGTAATTATATATCATGTACTAAGTCGTATCATTGCTAAAATATTTATGTTTATTTGAATGAATTTTGAAGCAGAATGAGAAGTATTAAGGGAAACTGCATGTAGAGTAAAATATCAGAGTCAAGAGTACTTATAGATTCACTGCTTGCCATTAGTATTCATCATAAAATTTGTAGCAAGTGTAGCGATTTCTAACAACAACACCTGTTCAAAGAGAAATTTTGACTCACCATGCCTGATTCAATGGATATTGCATATATGGTTGATTATAAAATTAGCATTGTCGTCAAGCAGTGTTGACTGTTGCTATGCTGGAGGGCATGGCTAATTCATTATTCAGTGGGTAATATAGCGAGCGCAGTAAGCGTCGCGAGGTGACGCTCGTCACTGCGAGCTCTTAAAGCAACACCTGTGCGAAGAGAAAATTTGAACTACTGCACATTCATTCGATAGAATTTTTCGACGCAGTAATTTGGACCCACAATGCATCACTTGTTAAAGCTACGTTCTCACGAGAATCGCAGCAAAAGTTCAACTAAAAGTAAACATTCCCTGATTTGATGGATAAATATTGAAGATAAATAGTAAACATGGTAAATGAAATGTTCTTCATTTACTTTCGATCAGCATTGTTCAGGCTTCTTTTTGGAAACGTAACTTACATACATAGTCATGTGATGACAGAGTCTAGACGCACCAATTGTCACATGCAGTTTGACGAGCCCGATTAAAAAATTATAGCAAAATAAATATCTGCACTGGCCACATTTACGGTCGCACCAACATATTAGTTTTTTTAAATAAATATTTTTCAACAAATCAGATTCAACTTATTAAACATGAAAGAATAATATCGCAAAATCATTTTGAAAATGTTTTGATCCAAAAATCATGACTTTTCATGTCATTACATTTTGCGTTGTTGCATTTTGCTTAATCTGGGCGCAAAATGAAATTATCAAAAAAAATTTATTACATTTTGAGTTTTTACAATTTGCGTTAATCTTATTGAAAATCAAATAATACAAAATGTAATAATCCTATAAATTTTATTTTCACTTTTTGAGTTAATTTCTATTCTGCATTGAAATCTGCAGCAATGCAAAATGAAATAATGTACAACATTTTGTGTTGAAATTTCATTTGGCATTGCATCAGTGGTTTGAAGCAATGGGTAAAAAGTTTCTGCGTTTGCCCTTAACGTTGCACCATCAATAAGCCTATGTAATAAAAACTACAAAGTGTATAGAGTTTCCAACTTTCAATGCACAATATAAAGTTTAGCTACATCAGTACATGTAAACTACAGTTTTGGGAATCAAATAAATCATTTATTATGACTAAATCGCTTAGTTTCTATTGATTGTTCATTCAAAATGTTTGTGCCAACTAATCGTGGTTTTGATAATAGCTGCAATGGTTTCTTTAAGTCGGGTCTAACAGTTTAGACATTGTTATGATTGTAGTACCCACCTTGGTTAATGAACAATCCCATGTATGATATAAATATAATAAAACTCATTTTTGTTGGAAATAAATCTCCAGAAAACAACCCCATGGTTTTCTTTTTAGAATCTGTCCTTAATAAATATGTCTTTTGTAGAACTTGGTATCAGAAGCTGTAAAGCGGATCAAACAACAAGTCCACACAACAAATCAATCAACGTTACGTGTGCGCTTGGAAATAAAAGAGGTCATACTAAACAGTGCGCAAGACTGATGACTACGAAGGTTGACAAAACATGGAAGACGGATCCACGGAAAAAATCGACAGTTCATGGATAGTCTATTTGTACGGAAAATAAATACAAAAGGGTTTATTACTTAACCCAATCAGGCAGTTCGGAAAAACAAATTCCGGTATAACCGTGTAATGTCATGCAATGTGGAGAGGAAGGCCTAACCCGATTGAATTGAATGACCTAATAGTTTATCATGTTTGTTTTCAAAATCCTAATTCAAGTTAATACTATAATGATTTAGAATATTGGCATTTTAATACATTAGTTCATATTCTAAATTTCAAAAACTCGAACTGATTTCATTTATTGAAATTCAATATTTTAGTTCAAACAAAAATTAATTAATCTAAATTTTAAAATTTCTAAAAATGTCACATTTTTATGGAATGCCATATACGACAGCCAACTGCTTACTGCCAACTGTCAGCTGCTTACTGCCAACTGCCACACATATTTGAATAAATTTTATATTTGTATTGATATTTATATGAATTTTCACCCAAAAAAGGGGGAAAAAAGGCACGGATCCAGGACATTTTTTCCAGGGGGGTCACCCTGGTAAAATTGAATTGAATAAAATGACCAATATGTTTTATCTTATGTAATATTCAATATATGCGGTTGATAAAGTACACTGTTAATTTTTTTTATTTGTTTTCCCATTTGAAATAGGTAATAAAATGACTATTTTCTGCTTTTAATCTATAAAGAAGCCCCCCCCTCCCCCGGGGACAACAAAAGCTTTGAAGAGAGAATAATAATAAAAAAGATTTGTCGTTTCGCAGAGAAAGATGTTTTGAAAATAAATTTCCGTTTTCCATTATACTCTATAGTTAAAAATTTCCTCAAATAAAAGATGTATATCACTCTGTGTTATAATGTTGCACATGCATAGATCGAAGTACAGTCATACGTTAAATGAACTAAACGAACGACCGGTATAACTGACCTTGGACCCTCCACTTAGAAAACGCCGATCAAACATTTATATCTCTTTGTTTGTACAAATAAAATATGTTTTACATACATAGATCCAGCTCGAGAGAGGGGTCCGGAACACCCCTCTGAAATTTGTAAAGTTATTTAATGCACAAACTAAACCAACTAAAAGTTATTTAATGTATAAAATAAATCAACTAAAAGGGACCTTACACCCACCCACCCCTCCCCAACCGAAAATGTGGATTCGTGTTAAGTTGGTATGAAAAATGTCATACACATGAAGGTATGCCGCATAAGAACCCCCTCTCCCCGGCCGAAATAAATTTTCACATTTAGGAAAGAACTTGACGTATTTTTTTCTTGTTAAGAAATTTCTGGTTGGATTTTTTTTTTTTACCAGAGTGACCGTCTTGGAAAAAATGTCCTATAGATCCGCGCCTTTTTTTTTAAATTTACATAAATATCAATATGAAAATAAAATTTATTCAAATATGTGTGGCAGTTGGCAGTAAGCAGCTGACAGTTGGCAGTAAGCAGTCAGCAGTGGCTGTCGTATATGGCATTCCATACATTTTAGATATTTTACCCCTTTTATCCAAAATTAACATTTTCAAAAATGATTTGTGCATTTTAAACTTACGAGATTTTAATCTGTCATTTGTTCAGAAAGTTTACACTTAACATTCGATTAGTACCATATGTACATCTTTTGCTTTTTATACAGGCGTGGATCCAGAAATTTTTTTCCGGGGGGGGGGGGGTCCACCCCTGTCAAAAAAAAAATCCTATCCCAGAAATTTCTCGACAAGCAAAAAAAAAACAAAAAAAACTAAACTCGCCCAAACGTCAAAAACCTATTTTGTGTGTGTGTGTGTGTGTGGGGGGGGGGGGTATTACCTGAAATCTTTAACTTTTCATACCCATTTCACACACATTCGCGTTTACCAGGGGGTCAGCCTTTTCCAAGGGGTGTTCATGAAAACTTTTTTCTTGCTTTAGTATATATAGATATATTTTTTTTAACCTTGTAAATTCCGGGGGGGGGGGTGACCCCCCGACCCCCCTTTAGATCCGTGCATGTTATACCCCACGCAACAAGTTGCGGGAGGAATGTTTTTGACCCATCCGTCAGTCAGTTCGTCAGTCCTTTTTTTTGGGGGGGGGGGGGTCAGCGCAACTCCTCATAAACCACTGCACAGAATTAATGATCAAACTTTGCAGATATTTAGAATTTCCGCACTTTCCAACTTAGCTTTTTGGCCTTACCTTGAATATAGAGATGTGTCAGCGCAACTCCTCTTAAACCGCTGCACAGAATTTCGTTAAAAGTAACACAATGTGTAGATGTGCATATTACCAAGAAATTCCGATTCTGAAATTTTTCGTGGAATTTCCTCACTTTTCAACTTAGATTTTTTGCCATATCTTAATATAGAGATTGTTAGCCGACTTCTCTTAAGCTGCTGCACAGAATTTGTTCAAACTTTGGAAATATTTAGTACACAGTGTTTAATTTGCAAATTACTCGGAAATTCCGATTCCATTATTTTTCTGGGAATTTCGGTGGCACTTTTTAACTTGAATATTTTTGGCCATATCTTGAATATAGAAATAAACAGATTGTCAGAGCAACTTCTCATAGACCGCTGCACAGAACTGCATGCGTCAAACTTTGCAGATATTTAATACACAATGTGTAGATGTGCATATTACCAGGATATTGGGATTCCTTTATTTTTCACGGCAATTTCAGCACTTCGAGTTTTGGGGGAGCGTGGGGTATGAGCAAGCTCTTTTTCTTTCATTTTTTTAAACTAACCATCAGATATATCTTTTTTGAAATGGTATCCTAATTAAGCTGTCAACTATCATTTGGCAAAGAAAAAAATTCACACATTTAATTTTAAAATATGATCATTTTTGTATATCTTTATATGGAGCTCTTACTTCTAATTGAAGAGATCAATATAGTCTGTAAATGCATGACCACAATTAATGGCCTCTTAAACTTCTTAAGTTCAAGAAGTTTTTGATTTATTAAAATTTAGAATTTTGATTCAAATTTCAAATAATTAAAACACTTTTAATTTCAGAATTTTACTTCAAATATCCAAACTAGCTCTCAAATTTCCAAACCTGATTTGAATTTAATTTAAACTTTTCCTGTTTCAATTTAATTCAATATTCTAAATAAATAAAAAAAAGTTTAGCTGCATTGATGTATAGCCCTCTCCGCTTTTTATCATATCTTATATTTTCTGGAGAAGGCCTCTCCGAAAAAAAGGAGGGGGCTACATTATTGCAGCTAAACAAAACTCTTTTGCTGGACCAAAAGCATTTGTGACATGGTTTAAAAAATTCAAACTGGGTTTGGCATTTTTTAAAATTTGGATATTTGAAGTAGTTCTAATTCTAAAAAAAAAAAAAAACTGAAAATGTAAAAAGTTTTCTTTATTCAAAATTTGACTGTTTGAATCAAAGTTTTAAAGCGATATATGGAGTAATTTTGATAAGTTCAGACTAACTAAAATTAAAAGGATTGAAATAAGTCGGAAATAAATATCAGATACAGTTCAAAGTCAATTTAACTAATAGAAACGTGGGGATTAATAAATTAAGTTCAAAATAAATTAATTGAACATCAATAAAAAATATCATATTGTAAATCTACGCCTAATCTCATATTTTTGTTTTTTAGCTCAGATACACCATATATAGCTTAAATATTTAAATTTAAACTTTAGATTGTGAAGTGTAAACTTAAGACTTAACAAGCAATAAAAAATTATTTAAGAAAATTAAAATTGTAATAACTTTTTTTTCCAAATTTTTATTTCCCAGCTGAGCCTTCTCTGTCAACAATTTTTTATATAAACTAACAGGCTAGCAGCTATCAAGGATGGGGCCCAGACTAAGTCCCATTACAAGCATAATATATTGTAAATAAACAGCATTTCTCACATTTTTAACAAATAAGTTGAAGAAACAAGACTATCAGCCATCTCATTTCAAGTTCTCAATTTGTAAATTCTATAGTCAATATAATGATCTTGTTAGTAAATACAATTTAATTATCATTGAGTCAAATGCTGACTGAAGTTTTTCATACATTTGTTAGACAAGAAAGTGATTTCTGCATTAAAAATTTTAAATTCGATATAATTGCACTATCAATTACACTGTTGTCATGTGAATAGCAAAAAGGAAAAACCTCTCTCAATAGAGAATAAAATTCTTTCAAAGTTAGAGATCCGCTAAGCCGGCATGTACATGTAGCTTGGGGGGGGGTGTTCAGGTAAACATGAATGTTTTCTACAGGACATAAATACCTTTGCTATTATGTTCTGTGATAATGCGACATGAATAAAAAAAATAGTACCCTGTGTGTCGATCCTCTTTGCTTAAAATTAGGTGTTGCAAGTTCACAGGATTCAAGATTGTCAGAAAATTATGACACTACGTGTTCTAATTGAATATCAATAATCTCTCACCATTGAATGTGTATTTAAAGTGTATCAGTTTTAATGGAAATATATAAAAGCATGAGTTTTGATAAAAATATTATGAATTACTTTCTAATTGAAGCTGAGATATGATAGAAGAACCTGGCCACAGAAGACGAAGTCAACATCAAAGATATAAGTACTAGTACTTACATGGTTATAATGACCTGCCAGGGAGTGGCGAATTTACTTTGTTAAATTAACATCAAAGATATAAATACTATAGTACTCAAAACATGGTTATAATGACCTGCCAGGGAGTAGCAATTTTATTTAATGTTAGAAATGTAATTCATTATACCTGTATAATTAACTTCAAAATATATTTTAAACCTTCAATTAAGAAATGAAAATCACTTCACCAAAAGCGTCAATTTATTATAAGCATGTTTTTTATATGTATATAAGCATGTGTGTTTACCGTATATGCCAGGCTGCATTCATA